TTTAAAACTTTGTTGGTAAAAATATACTGCTTAAATTTTTTAATGTAAGTTAAATTATTTTAATAGATTTGAGTAAGTTTAGACAACGTAGGTTGTCATAACTTCAAATTTAAATTTAAGTACATTTGTTTTTAAAAATAAACCTGCATTTAATTTAAATAAAATTGGATTTAAATTAAAATATATATATTGATTTTTATCCTCCCTGCAAGATAACTGTTGCTCCATTTGGAGAACAGGCAAAATTGGAATGGAAGGATGTTTATCTAGCAATAAGCAGGGGGTGGAGTTACCTACATCAAAGCCACGAAGTTGCAATATTTCATTTCCATACTTGGAACTCCTTAACCGAAAATAAATGTAGACATTGAGAACCAAAATATTTTTGGCTCCAGATATGAACAGTTTTATCACTGACGACATCTTAGTCTCATGCATACAAATGTTGCTGCATCCGTTGATGATTGGTAACTTTTGTATTTCAACGACTTGGCTTAACCTAAATATTTAACCAACCCAAAAGTCACTTAACAATTTTATTGTTTATCACAACTTTAATAAATTGTGATATGCTATAGCATAATTGATAATATTTACCTTATTTATAAATTAATTTTGTTCCATATTTTTGGTCCATTTAACAAAGACATCAAAATGTTTGTCACAACTGGCAGCATCTATTCAAGAGATTGATATTAAAACAGCAGATGCATTTCAGGTCAAGACTATTGGTATTTCCTCATTTTCATAAACACTAAATTAGCTCACAAATTATACCTGTAAATCAAGTTGGCAGCTTTTTGTGAAAGAAATGGAAGTGGGATGGGTTTTGTCTTTTTTATGTCCTCCAGCAATGACTTCTTGTGCTATGGTCTTGTCAGACCTCACAAAGTATGCAGAGTTGACTTGGACAGTACTTGGATGAGAAATGTCCAAGGAAAATCCAGGATGCAACTGGAAATAGGGACTTGTGTGAGTAATTTAATAGCTGCGACTTTCCTTCCGAGTTCCTGCTGAATCGGTTGTTCAGCACACTGTTCAGGGTATTGTCATTGGAAGTGTCATCAGTCCTAAGGTAGTGATGAATTTTTGTTTAGGGAGCTGCATTCTGTGCTGAGCTTACTGGTGGGTGGTGTATGGGTGTGTGTGAGAGAGACAGCGAGAGTGAGAGATGCCCCTTTTTGCTAGATTCCCCTTGCTAAAGTGCACTTTGGAAGTACTCTCAAATTCAGAATTACTGCCACAGCTATATCTTGTCCTTAGAAATTGTCCCTAAGGATTTTTTCAGACAATTGAAAATAACCTGTGTGCTTGTTTTAAAAATAATAACCAGAAAAATTAAATAGTCCTTTTATAGTCCTTGTATCATGGTACTGAGATACTGAGTCACACAATAGATTCCTGCCAGCACTGCAACTGTCATTCTTTTAGAATGTCAAGATTCTCAGACTTTCAATTTTATATATTTGTGTGTCATGCCGATGGTTTGAGATGACAGACTTTAAAATTAACCCTGGCCTATCACACCAGTTTGGGAGTTTCAGTACTTGTCTAAGACTGAATAAAAGCAAGTCCTAGGGTAACATTTAATCTCTGAAAACTGAAGACATTTGTAGTCAGTATATACGAAATGTGATTCAGTTCTCTGACAGAGTTAGCTAACCTGACCTGATTTATTTAAAATTAAGAGGTTTAATTTGCTTTCAAGACAACTGGAGTTTTAACGTTATAGGTTGCTACACCATGCATTGTAGTCAAACTATATTGCTCCCTCTTAAGTCTCTGGTCACATCTCTTCTCAAGCTGCTATTCTGAATACCTCATTCATATCCTTTTCCCGGGACCATGTCTGTGCCTTTCGTAAGGCTCCTAAATCTGGAACTCCCTTTCTGACCCCATCCTGTTTCCAAGTACCTCCTCTAAACTCTCCACCAAGGACCATGGTTTCTTTTTAAATTATTGTACTGTTCTCCGATGCCAGCATTACTTTCACAAGCAACCAAGTGCTAGTATTTTTGCCCTTGACGTCTTACAGTTTGAATATTCCCTTAGTCCTCAACAAGGCAGATTGATTTATATCAGTGATTTGATTCAGCAGCAGGAAATCTTGATAACAATAATCAATTTTAATCTGGTTTTTCATTTGTATTTTTTATTTGCCTAAAGAAAGGTTGATTCTCATTGTTTTTAATTTGGTACTACTTTTTGCTAACCAGGAGGATATACTACAGCAGTTGTATAATTTGACATATACTTATTCAAATTCTTAATTTTTACTTTGTTAGAAAATAGTGAATTATGCATTCTTATTTCCTAGATGATTAAGTATTTACTTGTGATTTCTGTCAAACTGCATTTGGATGGAAATTGAAATTCAATTAAAATGCACAAAAATAATAAAGTGGCTTATTAGTTAAATAAAACTATCTTAAATATCCTGGATACACAAGGAGAAAAGCGAGTTTATGAAAACGTTTTGCCTTTAAAACTGATTTATTAAACAAGGAAAGTATTATCAATAATTAGTGAATTGACGTGATTGTTTCTGGTCACCATGTCATTAAAGATTTTAGAACTAGTAAATCTCATCCTCTCTCACCTTATTTTTATTCATAGTAACAGGAAAACAAACTTTCATGCTTTTTCATTTGGTTTCTCAACTCTGAACGAATGAATAATTTAACTGAACTAGTTGAATAAACTGAGATGAGTGAAATATGAGTCAAAGCTTTTGATACAGTCTCCCACAGTATTCTTACCAGCAAGTTAAAGAAGTATGGGCTGGGGAAATTGACTATAAGGTGGATAGAAAGCTGGCTAGATCGTCTGGCTCAATGGGTAGTGATCAACGGCTCCATATCTAGTTGGCAGCCGGTTTCAAGTGGAGTGCCCCAGGGCTCGGTCCAGGGACTGGTTTTGTTCAGTATCTTCATTAATGATCTGGAGGATGGCGTGGACTGCACTCTCCGCAAGTTTGTAGATTACACTAAACTGGGAGGAGTGGTAGATACGCTGGAGGGTAGGGATAGGATACAGAGGGACCTAGACAAATTAGAGGATTGGGCCAAAAGAAACCTGATGAGGTTCAACAAGGACAAGTGCAGAGTCCTGCACTTAGGACGGAAGAATCCCATGCACTGCTACAGACTAGGGGCCGAGTGGTTAGGCAGCAGTTCTGCAGAAAAGGATCTAGGGGTCACAGTGGACGAGAAGCTGGATATGAGTCTACAGTGTGCCCTTGTTGCCAAGAAGGCTAACGGCATTTTGGGCTGTATAAGTAGGGACATTGCCAGCAGATCGAGGGACGTGATCATTCCCCTCTATTCGACATTGGTGGGGCCTCATCTGGAGTACTGTGTCCAGTTTTGGCCCCACACTACAAGGAGGATGTGGAAAAATTGGAAAGAGTCCAGCGGAGGGCAACAAAAATGATTAGGGGGCTGGAACACATGACCTATGAGGAGAGGCTGAGGGAACTGGGATTGTTTAGTCTCCAGAAGAGAAGAATGAGGGGGGATTTGATAGCTGCTTTCAACTACCTGAAAGGGGGTTCCAAAGAGGATGGATATAGACTATTGTCAGTGGTACCTGATGACAGAACAAGGAGTAATGGTCTCAAGTTGCAGTTGGGGTGGTTTAGGTTGGATATTAGGAAAAACTTTTTCACTAGGAGGGTGGTGAAGCACTGGAATGGGTTACCTAGGGAGGTGGTGGAATCTCCTTCCTTAGAGGTTTTTAAGGCCCGGCTTGACAAAGCCCTGCCTGGGATGATTTAGTTGGGAATTGGTCCTGCTTTGAGCAGGGGGTTGGACTAGATGACTTCCTGAAGTCCCTTCCAACGCTGATATTCTGTGATTCTATGAAATAGCTTCTGCAGTTGCAGAGAAAATATCAAAAGCTGGTTTGTCACTTCAACAGACTCTGGTTCCAGGTGTTTAGCCAGTGACTTCCACCAGTTCAGTGGTTTGAAGTTTCTTTAAAACTTCAGCAACAAACATGTACTTGTTGAATATTATTTTTATTTAAATTATCTTACTATATTTTATTAAGTTTAGGCCTTAACACAGGTCATCATAATTTTAATTTTAAATAGGTTTATTTTTAAAAAGAAAATGTATTTAAATAATTTTTAAAAACATTTAAAATCATTGATTTTTATCTACCCCAGCCTTCAGTCCTGCAAACACAATTGCATAAACGGAGCCCTGTTCCCACACACAGCTGCCTTTAAGTCAGTAAGGCCCTACATAGTTTTCTTTGCATGCTTGGATCCTGGAAGCAATTCGGGTTAGACCTGTAGTCTTTTCTGTAAGTGCCATGCACTTCTGTGGTGCTGTATAAGTTGTAAATAGCAGCCACTACAAAAGGTGGTACCACATTCCCAAATCAAGAATTCATGTGTCAGGTGTCCTTTCAGGCAAGCTTTGAGTGAGTGGCATAATGGGATGCTAATGCAGTAGGTAGAACACAAGCTGGGTCTATATCCATATGTGCCTGGGTGGGACACTTTTAAAGAAATGTGACTAACACAGGTCCTTCTGATTCCCTAATGCTTTCATCCTCTTAGACATATTTAAAGTTTGCTTCATATCAGTTTGCACCCGACGCTGGAAGGGTGGTATGAGGAGGAGGATTAGAAAATCAGATATTCCTAATTTTATTTTCACTTTTTTCAAGCACACCACAGTGTGTACAGAGCAAGATAAATTAAAGCTATGGCAGGCTAAGCAGCAACTGTATTGAATGCAAACCAGGGGAAACAATTGGGCAAGAGTTCTTTTTCTTCTGCACCTGTGGGACAGAAAACGTATAGGCTATTTGAGGATATCTTTAACTTCGCGGAGTACCTGAACGTATCTCTGAAACTTTCTTATATGAAGAACACATTTTTCATTGGTATATTGTCTATTTATGAATGTATTAATTTCACTACTACTGCACTCAAAATCAAATTACCATGCTAAATTCAAGCACTCTTGTTTTTGTTTTGTTTTTAACAGCCACAGTGGAATGTTACAATCCAAGAATGAATGAATGGAGCTATGTTGCAAAAATGAATGAGCCCCACTATGGTCATGCTGGAACTGTGTATGGGGGATTAATGTATATTTCAGGTAAACCTTTCTTATAAGTTTATGAACAAAATCCACCACACATGAGGCATATTGGCTCCATACTTGTTCCTACTCCAGTGGGTGAAGAAAGATTAAAAGAAGTGTTCTCAGATATAAAACATCTGCATGTTTCAAACAGTGATTCATAGCTTCATACAAAGTTAGTCAAATGACATACACTTATTAAAATCTCTAACAGAACCATTTTAGATAAAAATAACGCAGTTGTTAGATACTTATTTTAAACATCTCTAATTTGCAATGCTCACTAGAACATCTTAACCTTCAGTGCTGCATTTTTATGAACACAAACACTCATATAGTTGTCATATAGAATTTGTCATTTTGCCCTTAGATAAATAGTTACCTCACTAAGGATTGGAAAGGTTAGCTAATGCTACAAATACTGAGATAAAAGTGTCAACTTATGAAAGACGAAGTTGGAAGGATTTTAAGATTAATCACAGTACACCTCTACCCCGATATAATGCAACTCGATACAACATGAATTCGGATATAACGTGGTAAAGCAGCGCTCCGGGGGGGGGGGGGGGCTGCGCACTCCGGCGGATCAAAGCAAGTTCAATATAACGCAGTTTCACCTATAACACAGTAAGATTTTTTGGTTCCCGAGGACAGCGTTCTATCGGGGTAGAGGTGTATGTGAGTGGTGTCTTTACTTCTTTCACTACTTCTCTGTTGCTGTAACTTTGGTTGGTCCTGTGCCTCTGAAAGGCGACAATGTAATGCATGCTGTTCAAATCAGGAGCCGTAGTTATTCCCGAGAAAGCAAGTTCTCCGGTCTCCCAGATAATTGTTCTCCTTTGAAGGGAATTCCATGCCAAGTCAATAAATGGTCCCACCTGACCTACTCTGATTTCACATGCTTTTCATGGGTAGTTGCATTTAGTAGGCTCCATGCCCACATTTTTGCCTCATGCTTGTTCTAAATAACACTTGGCTCAGAATTTCCACTGACCTCAGAGAAGGACACTTCCTTTTTTTTAGTGATAGTGCAGTTGAAATGAGTGCATTGCGCCCAGGGTATATTCTACAACCACTCTAACAATTCCGTTTGCCCTTCTAGGACATTGGTTTATTGCAGCTAAAACATCAAATTAATACCAAAAATGATCAATCCTTATACAGATTTTAAGAAGGTGTCTGTCCATATGGTTATAATTCCCAGCTAAAGAATTTTGACCAGAGGGAATCAAATCTATAATTGCTTAATACTAAAGCCAAATTATTATCTAATGTCTGGACAACCTCAAAGCCAATTATGGAGCTTACTCCTTGGCTTTCGATGTGATGGCTAACCCTTCTTTCCTCCCCAGAGATGGTATAATACAGACGGTAACAGGAAATTCTTGATAAGCCATCGTTTAACAACTCTTATTTTCCTGAGATTGTCACTGACAATCTCAAGTCTCAGTTCTATTAAACTTAGTACACACCATATACTCTGAGTATCTCTGCGAGACAACATTTAGAGCTGTTTATACCTGGGGAAACTTTTTCAGGCTCCGTCCCTGACTGGCCTTTATGAGTGCAGCTCTACTTTCATTTCCCTGCCCTAAACATAAAAAGGCTAAAAAGGCTGGGATGTCTTCCAGGTAATAAAAACGAGACAAAAACACAAAAAGGAAAAATTATATTTAGACTATCAAGGGCTTTAGAAACTCTTCAGCTCTCAGTCTCCTAGAGTCTGATAGAGTAAAAGCTGGAACTGCAGTCAAGGAGCCAGATGGTGATATTCTGCTGGCACAGGACTCGTTGCTTGCAGGCCTCCTTCAGGTACAGGTGAAGACTAGAGAAGGTTGTAATGGCTTTGTAGTTGATGTGACTTCCTCTCTTATCAATATTGGGGGTTTTAGCAGGTCAGTCTTCTCTCAGGTGACTTAGTGACCCGAAAAGGCAAGGCTTCTTGGCCTTACCCTTAATTCTTAGTCTGTTACCTTAGCTTACTCAGCGTTGGACTACCTACACTGGAGCCATGTAGCTTGGTCCCATCAGGAGTAAATTTGGTCATTTGTAGCAAGAGTCAATATGGAAAAGTCCTACTTAAATCAGCCATTTTAAAAATAGTCAGTGTTTTGCATATCAGAGAAACTGAGTCTGTGATCTCCACCCTCCAAGTATAAAAATGATCTTGGTACATGAAATCTCTTTTTAGGAAGCTGGCATGATCTTATGTGGGTGAAAGGTCTTAAGATATTAAATCACCAGTTTACAGTAAGTTCAATATAAAATCCTATAAAAATAGCTTATTGGAAAAAACCCTAGTAACAAAACCAGTCACTCCAAGATCATTCATCAGCAAAATTAAAAATAAATTCAAATTTATTATCAGTTTCATCATCTTCAATTTCTTCTTTCCTCATTCTTTTTGACCTTCCATTCTAGAACTATGCTATTGGTCAAAGAGCTTACTTTCTGAACTCTTCATTTTCATAGAGAAAAATTACTTTATAGCTTATGAAGAAGAAACCCATTTGAAATAGAAACCCCTACATTTTATATAAGGGTCTATATTCCCATATAAACTATCCCTCATTTAACTCCCTGTTGTTCATTTTCTTTATGGCGCATTTGTTGTTGGAGCCATTGATGAAGATTATCACTGAATGGAGGGAGGAAAAATCTTGCTATCAAGGCATGTTCCTGTAACTCTACTGACATTGATAGCCCTCTCTAATGCCGGTGGTTAAAGAAAAAGCACTATGTTAAAGAGCAGCTATGTCTAAGGGAGCCTGAGGTTATGCACTCAGGGTCACTGGCCTACTATTAAAGTTTACAAACTTATGTAAATGTCCCATTTACACTTCTGTTTGTAGGAAGCGATCTGAGAAGCCGGTAAGTTGCCCCTGAAATTTGCGCTGTTTGAGGGTATGTCAAAGTTGCTGTTCAACATCAGCTGAAGTGGCAGCAGTGATATGACTTGAAAGTGAGTAAGTACTGCTTGGAAATGGGTCAAATGGAACAAAAATCCTTCCCCAGGCAGCACTGTTCATTTCACTCAAAGCCACCACTGCTGGTTCCTCAGCTGATGTCACAGTACCTCTGATATGCTCTTGACAGAGGTGCTCTTCGGATGTAGCTTACACTTGGACAGTTGTCTGTCACTAGAGAGCAGGTAAAAGGGATACTAATTTACACTTGTAAATTGTAGTCTGTCAGATTGGGACCATGAGCAGGGGCAGTGTGCTCACTTTTCTCAGAACTGTTGCTGGTTCTTTAATTTCAAGCTCTTGAAATAAATGAAAGTGGGGGAAAGTTTGCCAAATCAGAAAGTGTAAAATGGGAAAGGAATACAACTATTTTCTCTCTTTTAAAAGATTCATATAAGCAATGGAGAATTAGTCAGAGAGCCAAGTTGCCTCTCTCAGATCCACAACTAGAGGGGGACCTTTGCACATGTATATCTCACAGTTCAGTTCAGAGGGAGGGCTCAGCTGCCTCTGAGGAACAATACTCTCCCCTCTTCAAGACCCAGCAGAATCCTCTTCACATAGTCCAAATTCTGTGTTGGCAAAAAGGTAGAAACTGGGTGATCTGTAATGAGGAATGGACAGGATATAGATGGAGCCAAGGGAGATGCACGTTTTCCCCAGTACCATCTATGGCTACATGGTGCTTACTCAGAAAAGAGAATACAACCCGGGGCTATATTATCTTGTTGATTGAGCCATTCCCCCAGAATTCCCGGGTGCGGCCACACTCGTGGAGCGTCCCTACTAATGCAGGTGCCATGGTGTGGAGATGTGTGTGCTCCACACAAATGTTTCTGGTCTCCCATATCTATATCCTTGGGCTGTGGTTCTCAACCAGGAGTACGTGTACCCCTGGGGGGTACGCAGAGGTCTTCCAGGGGGTACATTAAGTCATATTTGCCTAGTTTTACAACAGGTTACGTAAAAAGCACTAGAAAAGTCAGTACAAACTAAAATTTCATACGGACAATGACTTGTTTATACTGCTCTATATACTCGACACTGAAATGTATGTACAATATTTATATTCCAATTGATTTATTTCATAAATATATGGTAAAAATGAGGCAGCAATTTTTCAGTAACTGTGCTGTGACACTTTTGTATTTTTATGTCTGATTTTGTAAGCACATAGTTTTTTAAGGGAGGTGAAACTTGGGGTACGCAAGACCAGTCAGCCTCCTGAAAGAGGTACAGTCGTGTGGAAAGGTTGAGAGCCACACTCCTTGGAAATCTTCTAGAATTAGTTGAAATAATGTTACATTTTTGCTATGACTTGTGTTTACTCCAGGGTCAATATTACTTTGATTTCTTTCTATCTTTCTATAGGCGGAATTACCCATGATACTTTCCAAAAAGAACTTATGTGCTTTGACCCCGACACAGACAAATGGACTCAGAAGGCTCCAATGACAACAGTCAGAGGTCTGCACTGCATGTGTACTGTTGGAGACAAGCTTTATGTTATTGGCGGAAATCACTTTAGAGGAACAAGTGATTATGATGATGTTCTAAGCTGTGAATATTATTCACCCACCCTAGACCAGTGGACTCCAATTGCTGCTATGTTACGTGGGCAAAGTGATGTTGGGGTTGCTGTCTTTGAAAATAAAATCTACGTTGTTGGAGGGTACTCTTGGAATAATCGTTGTATGGTGGAAATAGTCCAGAAATACGACCCGGAAAAGGATGAGTGGCACAAGGTCTTTGACCTCCCAGAATCACTTGGTGGCATTCGAGCCTGCACTCTTACAGTTTTCCCACCAGAAGACAACACAGGGTCACCTTGTAGAGAGTCACCTCTTTCGGCACCTTAAAAAAAAATCCTTTGACTTACGGTGTTGTGGTAATACCTTTGCACTGCATCATGGAGTGTCTCGTTTTTCTTCAGTAGTATCTGTTAGGCTTAGCCTACAGCAATTGGTACAGTTACTGAGGGAGAAAAAAAGACTTTGACATTACTTGTGCTGTTTGTTTGGCCTAGAATGTTTGAGTGGTTAACAAAGATTATGGAAAAATGTACTCAACAGAGCCAAATCTTTAACAAGTGAGAAACAAGATATTGTCTATAAAATGTATGAATTAGGTACGTTTTTAATGTTGTGTATTGGGTGTGAGGTACCTTGCAACTTACATTAGGAAGCCCAGTAAGTCAAATTGGAAGGGGTTGCAGTGAACGTGTAATTATGTTCACTAAACTTCATATTTGAAAGTCTTTCTTCCTTTCATCTTTGATTGCAGATTTTAAAGGGAGGCAGCCTGCACCCATGTGAACTCTGACAAAAGGTTGCCAGCAGGCCTGAGCTACCTCCCTCTTTTCACAGAGTATTTTTGACATATCTCTTTACTGCCCAGCTGGGTGGGTGCTTTAAGAGCATATGGAGTTTCTTAGGCAGACAGGAGAAATCAAATAATAATTTAAAAAATATTAATATTATGCAACAGGTGGACCCTGTACAGGCCCGGGTTTTTTTAATAACGTATATTGAGGGTTTTTTCCCTGACTCAATTAAGTGACACTTCAAACAGAAGACTTAAAATGTTTGGGCTTTTTAACTTTTGGTCTCTTCCCCCTCCCCCACACACCCAGTAATCAGCTTCTGCTTGTAAGGGAGCCTAAACTATTAATAAATTGGAATTCAGTACAGTTGTATGACCTGTTGTATGCCTGTATTGAGTTATGTGGATAAGGGCTAGAAATGTTAATTCAAGCCAGTACATTTGACCAAATTGTTCCTTCAGATCAAATTTAATCTAATTTTTCTCCTTTGCTGTTGAGATAACTTACATATTACATGTCCTCTGTATAGTCTCAGTTAATAAGGTTATTTAGCACAAAGTGCAGCTTCAGCAGGAGAGCTGCTGTTTGCTCAGTGAACTCAGACTACCATGTTTTACCTTCTTTTGTTCAATAAAACTTTTAACTGCAATTATTCAGCCTAAGATACCTCATTAATGTTACTTGGATTTTCTTCTTCTGCTCTCTGTTGCCAGGGATACACATTGCGTATATCTGTGTGGGTAGATTAATTTGCTAGGAAACCAATGCACAAGTGGTCTCGAATGGGTACTTTGACCTACTTTCAAGGAACTATTTTGGCCATACTTGTCTATTGTAATTTTAAGGACTGAAAATGTGGAAATAATATCTGAACAATTGTGCATAGAGTGAGCTAATATTTAAATGTTCAGCAGTACAGATGTACAATACAGTAATCTTTATTGGTTCCAACATAGTAATTTGCTTCTGAATACGTTTTTTTTTAAAGTTCTGGTTTTAAATCAAATTAAATTAAAATGCAGGGCAAATAATTGCAAATGTTAGTCAGTTTTGATTATCTAAACCCCAAATCCTCATTATTGTTTTTGGCTTTCCATTATAAAAAGCACAAGAATTTGTACTAATTGCTAGCAATCACGGTGGCTTTTGCAGACATCTGGAGATGGTTGTTTACATTTTTTAACTTATTTTATTATGGTATCTATTACCAGTTACAATATCAATCTTAATAGCATGCTCTCAGCATAAGTGTTCTTTTCCACGTTTTTCCACTATAACAATATTGGGTTAGAACCCTAAATCTTCTAACATCTGGTGTTTGTTTTTCTCTGTTGGAATTTAATTGGTCATGTGTCTTTCACTCATTATTCAAATGTACTTTTATCACAGGTTTCATATTTTAACATTATTTTGCTTAAAAGCAAAGTGGAGCTTCCTAAAAACATTTTCTAACTCTGAGCTAGTTATGTTGAGTTACTACAGGCGATCCTGTATGGAAATGAAAGATTGAATGCTCTTGGGAAATATTTGACCTATCGAAGATCAAATGAGTATAGGTAAAATATTTTGTTCCACTCATAGGAAACAGAAGATGAGAAAATATTGCTGTCACTAATGCAGATATTTAACATACACTTTACCTATTTTTAGATTAAATGCCAACTCTAGTGAACTATTGTGAACATAAAACCCAGAGGCCTGTATCATATTTACTTTATTTTTCAACTAGAAAAGAAATCTTCCTCTTAGAAAGAGAAACAGCAACTCATTTTGGATGATTCAAGTATGTTTTTGGTTTCTGAATCCTTAGGGTCCACTTCTTGAAAGTGGATCTTAGCCCCTGATGGTCTGCACTCTGAAGATGCTGATGGTGGAAAGACCCTTTGGAGATATCTTCCTGAAGGTTAGAAGAGGAAGTCTAGCAGCTTCCCTGTCTGAGAGCAGCCAGGTAACTGGAACATGGCAACTCTTTCAGTTTTAGGCATTCTTTTTAATGACAAAATGTTAGCTATAATCCTTAAATGCAGCGTGCTTGTGTTGAATTTCTGCACCAATGCTGGATGTATATGGGATAATGGATTAGATTTGTCCTTAAATAAAATGCTTCTCCTTTTGAATTTTTTTCCTGTTATTTTTATGGCTAAAGAATTCCACCACACAATGAAATTATTTCAGATCAGTTCACCAGGATTTAAGAGTAAATCTCAAAGACTCAATGGAGATGGCAAATTGTCTTTCTTTCGTGGTGTGCTGTTGAATAACTTGACACTCACTGCATCTCTTTTCATGATAACCCAAGAGAGCCTCAATCTGTGAATCTAGGGGTACGTCTATACTTGCCTCTGGCTCCGGCGGTAAGCAATCGATCTTCTGGCATCGATCCCGGAAGTGCTCGCCGTCGACGCCGGTACTCCTGCTCGGCGAGAGGAGTACGCGGAGTCAACGGGGGAGCCTGCCTGCCGCGTCTGGACCCGCGGTAAGTTCGAACTAAGATAGTTCAACTTCAGCTACGTGAATAACGTAGCTGAAGTTGTGTATCTTAGTTCGAAGTGGGGGGTTAGTGTGGACCAGACCTAGAAGGAATTATGGAAAGCTACTTCCAGGAGAAGGATATTAACCCTCCATTTTTAGCAAGGTTGCTTTCTTGGAGCGATTGTGAGCTATCCTGGCATTAAATGCTCGCAGTACACCGACGATGCCCAACTCCTTTACATCAATTGTTAACAGTAACATCTTCTAATTGTCGCAGGACAGGAATTGAATGCAAAGTTGATGCTTACCCTGATTTGGATGCAAGGGATGTTAAGGGGACAGCTGGAAGAGCCATGGTAACCTCCAACATTCAAAGGCCAGAGGTGTCTGTCTTCCAACCATTAAGGCAGTTTGTAATCTCAGGGTCGATCTGGACTTCTGCCTTGGTTCCCAAACAGCATTCCTAGCAGCTGTTGCTTTTGTCCATTTACAGCTGGTCAGGAGACTGTCGCTATCCTCTCAGAAGCCACACGTTTGACTTCCAGGCTTGACTGCTGCAATGTGCCATACGTTGTCCCAAAGCCATTCCGGATTTCATTTGTTGCTTTGAATAAATTGTGGTGTTGCTGTACTGTGTTTACAGTTTGAAGTTTTTTTGAAGATGTAGGCTTACCAGTTGTCTTATTGTAGCCTCTCCTTCCCATCTTATTCTAAATAGTCATCCCCTATTCCACTGATGTCTGCTCTTTTTGTTCTAGCCTAACCACTGGTTCATGTGAGAAATGTCCTTTGCCTGAAGAGGTTAACCAGTGTCCAAAGTACTGTCTACCTTGTTTCTGAGTTAAGACAGAGCTCACATATGTTTATAATTCTCTTAATACTTCTATTCTATGTCTTCTGTTTCTGGAAGGTGCACCAAAATTTGTAAAAATGTAATGACTTGCCTAATTTAGGAAGGACTGAAGGGCAAAATGCACCATTACTGATAAGTTACAACTCACTGTTTTCCTAGGAATAAACTTTGGAAAGTTAATGAATCTGATCATAGCTAAATTTTCAGACACTCGGAAGTCAGCTATGTAAGACCAGTAGTCTTGACTCAACATTACTGACAGTGTTTCTTGAAAAGCAGATATTTGCTATCTTACTGCAGGAAAAATACTGAGTCTTATACTCCACTGGCTTGCACCTTGCATAGTAAATCATGCCTATACAAAGTGAATGTAGTATGCTACCCACCTTGTAGAGGTGTAGAATCTATGCACGAATCAGGCCCACTGTATATAGTGCTTTCCATTTTCAAAGCACTTTACAGCTGTTCGTTTCTTTCTACTTAAGCACTGTGTAGTTAATCATAGTTTCCACTTATCCGCAAGAGAATGATAGTTCTTCAAGTGTAGCTGTTGTCAGAAAACATCTATGTAAAAATACAACATTTTTATGTTTAAGGAGAAAATCTCTGGAATGTACAGTTATATCAGTTATGCTTGGTGACAGAAATAAGTTTGTTTCTTCTTACTCATGTCAGTACTGCAGAACCAGCAATGGAAAAGTGAGCCTGCTCTGGGAATCAGACCTTTTCTGCTTGGCTGCCACTGCCGACTCGTGTGACTTTTGGCATTTACTCTCCCGGTACATCTTTACCCCTGCTGCAAGTTAGGGCTCATGTCCACCTCCTCACAGGAGTCTGGTGAGGTCTAATGGTTGTAAACTGCTTCAAGTCCTCCAGAGAAGGGCACAAAGCAGGTGGTTAGTTATTGGGGTGATATTTTTGGTTTATTTCATCCATCGGCAGGGTTAAGTGAACTTAGTACCTTATTTTTCAGCCCCCATTCTCAGTCTAGTCCAATTTGTCTTCCACTACACTCACTATTTCTGGTGTACCATGGAGAATACCACAGTAGCCTCACGTTTCCGTCTTCAACAAAATGTTTTGTCTAGTTTCTTCTGTTTGTAAAGATGCTGCCGGTTAGATATTAGGAGGGAATTAAGGCAACCGGTGGCAAAAGTGCCCTTCTGAAGTGTTTAGATAACTAGGCTGTTTGCATGTTTTCAGGGGATGCAAGTTCATATAGCCTGGGAAAGGTGCTGCTGTAGAGGTTTGTCTGTACTTCATCTGGGGGCATGCCTCCCAGCCCTGGTAGACAGACACACGCTAGCTCTTCTTGAGCTAGCGTGCTAAAAATAACTGTGTGAACTTTTGCGACACTGGGTGGTGACACGGGCTAGCCACCCAAGTATGGACCCTGGTGGGCTTATACTTTGGATCCTAGCCCAGGCTGCAACGTCAACACTGCTGTTCTAGCATGCTAGCGCAAACAGAGCTAGGACATGTCTGTGTACCCGAGCTGGGAGACTTGCTGTCAACCTGCAGTGCAGGTCTGGAATGGAGTTTGCCCGTTTATTAGGGCAAGTAGGGCTGATCTTGGCTGTTATGGTTCATGACCGTGGGGGGCACATTGAACCTGTTGCTGCCTTTTGTTTTTCAGATTTCAGCCATGAATTGGGTAATGCCTTTTTTTCCATCTGTGGTTGGACTGGAAGCTACAACTGGTCCTTTCTGATCCAGAGGTTGCCAGAGCGTTCATGTGTTTACCAACTCCAAAAACAGGTTTCTGCAATGTATTCTAGTGAGGGTTTAATTAGCTAAGCACTTGGAAGCACTGAATTTAAACGGTGGAGCCAAGATCCTCTTTGGAATGGAAAAGAGTCCTCGCTGAATGTGTATGGCTGATAAAAGGAATGCTTAAGACACTGCAGGAGCATTCCTCTGCAGTTAACAGATGATGATGACCATCATGGCCAAGATATTCACAAGCAGCTAGTGATTTTGGATGCCCAACTTGAGACACCTTAAAGGTGCCTGACTTCTCAGAGGGAGGTGTTCCCTTGCGCTTTGTAAACATCACTCCCCCTTTGAGCTGTCTCAGATGGGCCACCAAAATCACTCGTTACTTCTGAAAAATCTTGGCCAAAGAGTGTTGAGTGGGAAAGATGCCTCTTTAGGATGAGGTTATTTAAAATATCCTGTGGGCATGCCATAACCAAGCAGGTTTGATACCAGCTTTGAAGTAATGTTTACTAAGTTTAATGCTATGCTGTTCATTACATCAATTCACATTTTAAAACTGATAGAGAAAGTTGAAAGTTATTTTCAAAATCCCAGTGCAAAAGTTT